GGGGTGCTCCGGCCTCAGCACACCCCGCCGAGTCTTTGGCAGCTTCCAGGACTTCTATCCTGAGGCAAAGGCGAAAAAGTGGGAGAGGCTGTGTGCAAGGCGGGAGACAGGACCTGGAATGGCTGAGTGGGCAGATGGGGGTGGCCAGTGCCAGGGCCCTGCATCTCCTCCTGCCAAGTGGTCACAAATTCAGAGGTCACCCACGACCCCGAGACCATGCCATAAACTGCTGCAGAGACTGGCCCAAGGGGATGACCTCTCCATGTCTGAGAAGGGGAGCCTGCCTCAATGTCCGGACTGGGAGGGGCTGCTGAAGACTTGGGGCCGGGCGGTGGCCTGGGGACGTGGCTGCTGCATGCTGCAGGCAGCTTCTCTAACAGAAGCCCTCGAGCTGGTGCCCTTAGGAGGGGAAAGAGACACGTTTGCACAAGGAAAATAACGTGGAAGTGACATGAACACCTTTGGTTCTGCTCACCAGGAGCCCTGAGGGCACCCGACACCGCCTCTGTACCCAAATGCAGCCAGCTGCAGGCCACGCCTGGGTCTGTATCCGATTCAAGATGCACAGCCGCCTTCCAGCCAGGGGCTGCATCGAACCTGGGGAGGGAGCAGCTCAGGGACCTGGATGTTCCTAGGCTTGCGCTCGGTTTGAAAGGGGCAGGGCGAACAGAAGGTGGGAGGGGTCCTGCTGCCGGGCACATGCTGCCCATGAAGGTCTTGTTTTGATCGTGGCTGGGAATGAGGTCGTCACAGCCACGATGGGGCCTTCGCCTTGCCCCAGCTGCCCCAGGCCTGCGGCTCAGCTCCCGGCTGCTCACACAGGCCAGGGCCTGTTGTCCTCTCAGGAGTGACCACGCCCATCTGTGTCCACGCAGGCCTCCCTCTGGGGCCCCCGTGCCTGGCTGGCTCCTGGTGATGACCCTATCATGGTCTGCTTGGGGCCAGGCCTCTTTTGGATTACACCCCATCCCCTGCCTGGGGGTCCGAGGAAGGCCAGGGGTCCCCCCAGCCAAAGACGTGTTGTCAAACAGCGCACCCCAGGGATGTTCCAGGGGACATGGCCCCAAAGTCCAGCCCCGCAACAGTCCCCTGAGCCCCTGGACCATGGCTCTGCTGTCCCCCCGCGATGCCCGTCCACATGGGGGTCCCAGGCTTCACTGCATCAACCAGCTCGTTTCACACGCACGAGACAGAAACGGATCTTCCCGGAATCGAATGTTAGCGGCTGAAGGATCATCAAGGAAAATAACCACACCACCCACGTTCCTGACAAGCCCTGGAGGAGGAAGACATGGGGCCGCCCTCTCCAGCACACCGCGCCTGAGATGCAGCCCTGGAGGAGGAAGACATGGGACCGCCCTCTCCAGCACACCACGCCTGAGATGCACGAGGCGGGGCCTCCCGTTGGATAGAAGCTAGGCTGTTCACATCCCCAGGCACACACAGCGGAGAACGCCAGCACCCGCAACACCAGCGTCTCCTCATGTCCCTCAATCTTCATAAATCTCCGTCTGTCAGCCACACCTCTAATGGCTTTTAAATGAGCATTTTATTTGGAACATTTTGCAGGTCACGCTGAAGCTGCCGACGGGGGTGGTGGGGGGCGGGTGTCTGCTGTGGGCCTTGGGGAGCAGGCTGGCTCCGCCTCGCCTCGGTGTCCGGCCTGGGCAGGGCGTCTAGCTGCCGGGTAGGCCTCACTGGGGCCTGGTCAGTGGGTGGGGAGGTCTCTGGGTGGCTGGGGCTGCTGGCCCCCCTTTGGCTGAGCTGCTATGATCTGTAGGGGTAGGGGGAGCTAAGCCCAGGAGGCTGGGCACCATCCCTATCATGGGCCTTGACATGCCCACAGGAATGCCTGGCCCAGGGAGGCCAAGGGGTGTCCCTCCGGTGGGACAGCTGGGGAACCCCAGGGTGTCGTGGGCTCCATGGCGCTCTTGATCCCTCCCAGGGTCAGAGCTGCACCCACACTGACTGCCGGGGCCTTGCAAGATTTTCAGCTATGAAGAGGGGTCCACGGATGTTGTGTATATGTATTTTCAGCCTGGAAAATACTAGATATTCTTTCCTACAATATAAACTACAAAGTCCCCCAGCCCTCTCAGCCCTCTACCCTGCAGTGAGAAAGCTTTAGCTGTTTGTCTTTAGTCCCTTTATCTATAGACATCGTGCTGAAGGAGACCAGATGGTCCCAAAGCCACCGGGAGCCCCTCGACCCCGTCGGAAACCAGAGGGAGTACGGACCGACACGGAACCAGTGCAGGCCAGAGCAGGCAGCCTATGGTCCCCTTCAGATCCCCAGCTTATCGTTATAGTAAGAAAACCCCTGCCCTAAGGGAAGACGCTGCCACGCTGTACGTTAGATGTGTGAAGAGGTGTGTTCATGGACAGTGTCTGCGCGTCTGGAACCCTCCGCACCCCTGCATGCCTCCCCTGCAGGCACCCAACCCTGTGAACACCTCCCCCTTCCCGGTTCTCCGGTTGCTCAATAGAACCAGCTGCCTCTCCAATTGGCCGTTGCTCCTTCGCGGCCAATACAGAGTAGGGAGAGAACAGTTTCCTGGGGCCAGCATGCAGCCAGCCACGCTCCTGCACTGGGACTGGAGGGCGAGGCCCCATCAGATCTCCCTGAGCGTCGCCACTGCCCCTTCTGCCCCATGCTTTCCCCGTCACAGACCAGCAGCTGCCGGCTCGCAGATGGGGCAGCCTGTGGGCTCTAGGTAACCCCTGCCCCTGCCCCTGCAAGGGGCCATCCCAGAGGTGCTGGCGCCCACGGGCCTGACCCTTGCTCGGCTGTCCTGTCCTCTCCTTGGACACAGCCGGCAGCTGTGCCATCCCATCTGTACCTCTGGAGCATCACGTGTGCAGGAGCGTGTGGGCAGAGGCTTGCACGCACCTGCTCCGGTCAGACCACCTGCTCTGCCAAAAGCTGTGCAAACACGCTGGAGAGGCGCCTGCCTGTGGAAACCAGCCACGCACAGGTGTGTGTGTGGGAGGGGCAGACGGGGGGTGCCCTCTCTCCCCAGGGCAGGCGGGGACCCCAGGCTACAGAGGAGATGGGGGACGGTATCTGGTTCTTCCACATCTGTGTGGGCCTCACTAACAGCACTCCTGACTCCGTCATGGGCCCACGGATCATCTCCCTAACTGAGTGACAGGACCAGGGCCAGGCGCAGCTCCTCTGCAGAGCCTTGTCTGAGCGCAGCGGGCGCTCGTTCCTGGCCACTGGAGGGCGGCAGGGCCTCAGCAGATCCTGCAGTCCTGGGGTGAAGGTGCTGGGACTGACCGCAGCTCACTCGGAGCCCCGGGCATTCTGGCCAACATCACTCTAAGAATGTTTATGTAAATCCTGCATCAGAAGTCCCCGCCTGTGCCATCCGTGCCAGCCCTCACGCTGCCTGCCACGTGACTCCATCTCGATTCCTGGAGTCCGAGGCCATCATCACCCTCCCGTCTCTCAGATGAAAGGCGCCACGGCTGAGGCTGACAATGTCCCCTGCTGCGCAGGTCTGAGTCCTGAGCCCCTGCCCACCCCGGGGCCGCCTCGCCTCCCCCACAAGCCACACGCTGCCGAGAGTTACCTCCCGAGTGGCCTCTCTGCCCCCGTGTGCTATCCTGAGCACCACCCCTTACGATTTAGGAATTTCCAGGAAAACCCCTTTGTGCTGTTCCCAGGGACGGGGACGGGTGGCATTTTCCAGGCTGCAGCTTGGCTTTGGTTGATCTGAAAGGCGGGGATGAAGACGGCACCACAGGTGAGTCCTGGTTTTTGGAGCTGAGGCAGAAACTGGAGGCCCACAGCCCCAAACCAGGAAGAAGAACCTGCCACTTCCTTGCCAGCCCCAGCCCTAAAAGCGACACCAGCAAGCCCCGGTGACCAGCTGGCAGCCCCAGCTTGCAGTGGGTCCCCGCGCACCCAGAGCTCGAGGGCTGTGACGCACTCGGAAGCCGCTGACTCGGAGCGGGAGAGTCGAGGCCAGCAAGACTGAGGAGCTACCAGAAAGTGGCACTGTGGCCTCTGGAAACGAGCCTCCTGTGGGCAGGACCTGCTGGCTCTGAGCCCAGCGAGATGGTTCTACTGGCTCCTGGGAGCCAAACACCTTAGAAGGTAAATTACGTCTGGAATGACACTGACTCTGTGGGCACAGTGCAAACAGGAGACCAGACAGCGAGACCTGGAGATGGGGAAGGCCGGCGATGCCCTGTCCTGGGCGCCTGGGGACTCAAGGTGCTGCTGGGGGGCGCTTTCAGCCCCAGGAGCTGGTGGTGAATCTTCCAGGGACACATGGCCCAGCGCTGGAGATGCACCTGCACTTGGCAGGCTTCAGAGCAGAAGCAGGCCCCGACCTCACCCACCGCCCAGGGTGTCCCTCTGGGGTCTGTCTCTGAGTGGGGCGTGCACTGGAGATGAAGAGCGGGAGGGAGGCCTCTGTCACAAAAGCCTCGTGGGGCCGCAGGACAGTGCAGGAGGTGGGGGTGCATGGAACCCGGCACCAACCAGCAGCCCATATATTTGGCTGTGATGGTTTCCGGCTGTGTGAAAAGCCCTGCTTTTCCATGTCCCCTTCGTCACAGCCAGGCCGCCGCAGCCTAGGTGGGGTGGGCCTCCTCGAAGGCGCCAGGTCCAGAAGGGGTGGGTTTCAAGGCAGGCGTGTGTGTTCAGGTCCTGAGAGGGGCCGTCAGAGCACCCCAGATACCGAGTGCCGCTGTGGCTAGACCCCGAGACCCCAGCGGGGGGTCCCTGCTTTTCTGAGGCCTCCACCCATAGCCACACACACCAGCAGGGCCTGTTCTGGAAAAATCTCACAAGGCCTCGCCCATAGCAGCCGGTGGTGAGTGCTCCAGAGCCTCCTTTGCTGAATCTGTCCCATGGCAAGAGAGTGACACTGGGGAGGTTTCTGATCATTCCCCGACTGTGCCACGAGAGAGGCTCCCCGAGGGTCCTGTGGGCGTCCTGCGGGGACCAGGAGCTCACCCGCCTGCACACAGACCCCGCCCTGCCTCACCTCTCGGTCCAGGCCAGCCGCCACTGTGACGATGTCTCCAGTCTCGCTGTTGATGGTGAACATATTCTGGGACGGGCTCTGCGGGGTCTGGGTCACGATCCGGTACCGCACCATCCCATTGGCCGTGGTGCTGTCGTCAGCATCGTTGGCCGTGACCGTCATCACGTAGGTTCCTGGAACAGAGACAGCAGCTCAGATGGGGACAGCCTGCCCCACAGGCTGCTGCCCCCGCACACACCTGGGCAGAGCCCCCTCGACCGCAGAGCTCTCCGTGAGTCTGGCGTAGTGGAACCCTCTTCCTCTTGGTGTACTCAGAGGTGGTGTCAGTGCACCTGCTGACTCTGCCCCCACTTTATAGAATCATGGAAGGATTCTTCTAGAGCTTGAGGTTCCTTTGAGGTCATCTGCTCTGACCTCTTCCTTTTTCAGCTGGGGAAAGACCAGGTCTCAGAGGAGGAAGAACCTCTCTAAGCTTCCAGAGCATGGGGCAGCAGACCAGGCCTGGAGCCGGGTGGCCTGAGGTCCCGACAGTGCCTCCAAGTTGCCTCCACTCCCACATAGAACCCAGCCTGGCTGGGCTTAAAGGGAGGGACTCAGAGGCACTGAAGCAGGGCCTGGTATAGGTCTGGATACACAGAAGCTGTATAATAAACACCGCAGGGGACACAGTGGAAAACAAACCTAGAAGGGACCGCTTAGCAGGGAGGCTGTGCCTATGGGACTCAGACGGAGCACATCTGGGGGTGCCGTGGGACTGGGGGCCGCTGGCATTTCAGAGGGGCTCAGTGAGCTGCCCACGCGCTCTCTCAGCTTGGTGCCTCAGTTTCCCCATGGACACATTGGGGTTGAGGTCTACGGTGCACACTGGTACGTTCCCCACTTCCTGAGAATGGCATTTGGCTTCCCCTTGGCCGAGCAGCCTTTCCTGCCCTGGGGAGGGACTGCATCAGCACACCCCACCCTGTGGCCTCAGGGCATCCCCAGGTCTGAGGACCAAGTTCTGCTGGGAGCAGTGGTGGGTGGGGGCTTTAGTCACTGCCTAATGAGCACCAACTCTGAGCTAGCACTGTGCCCGGTGGAGGCCCCTCTCTGCGAGCTCCTAACTGCTGTCTCCTGATGCTGGCACGGCGGTGGGCTCTCCCACCTGTAAGTCCTGGGGCTGGACTCTGCCCGCTACCTTCTGGTGTTCCTGCCCCGGCTCTGCACACGTGTGTGCTCAGCTCATCCTAGTGGCTGCCTGAGATGCCCCAGAACCCTGAAAGTCGAGTGCCTGGCCCTGTAGTGTTCACGCACAGAGGAGGGCTGCTGGTGCCTTGCTGGGCCCTGGGGATGGCGCAGCCTCTGCCCGCACAGTGCCTCCCCTGGCTGACGGGGCTGCTGGTCATGCGGGGGGCCCTTAGAGAGACCCGAGGTGCTCATTCCTGTGTGCATGAGATGAAGGACTCTCACCACACCAGCCCTGGGATCTTGCACAATCTGTTCTGCATCTAGAACGTTCTTCCCTCTCCTCCACCTGGCCGACTCCTCCTCATCCCCCAAACCCCTTCCTGGCCCTCTGGACTGAGTCCTGGGGCCCTGTGCATCCTCGTCTCACCTGCATTGAAACAGCTGTGTGTCTGCTTAATGTCTGTGTCCTCTGTGGGATTACAGCCACAAGGGTGGGGCTGGGTCCATGCTGTCCCTGTGACCTGGCACGCAGATGCCCTGCCGGACATTTGCCGGACTGTGCCAGAAGCCCAGGGTGCAGGGCAGCCTCACGCTCAGGAGGCAGGGTCTGCGAGGAGCCCGAAGCTACTACTTATTTCCAGGACCCCAGAGCAGGCAGGGAGTATCCCCCCTCTACCCCTCCCCCACCTTGCCCTCCCTCTGCAGCCCTGCAGAGAAGACCCGCACTCTGGCCTTCCACCCAGGCAGGACAAGCCCAGCTGGGACGCAGGGGAACCTTGGCTGTGTCGGACTAGGAGTCTGCTTCAGCTTTCAGCTTCTACTGAATGCAAAATTCTCAAAGCAGACACGTTTCATGAAAACACAGAAACGCAAGCAGAGGCAGGAGCACGTTAGAGAGTACGGCATGTGAGTTATAGGTCAATAAAATAGATGCATTTATGTGGCGAGCAAACGGGTGGGAGGGGCCACGGCCTGGTGACCGTCAGCCTCTGGAACTGGGGACCCCACCCTGATGATCCTTGCCCCCATCACGATGTCCCCACCACTTTAGAGCACAACAAGCCTGGTCCCAACCATGCTTCCCTCTAAAGAGACAGCCCCGTGCCTCTGCGCTGGCTTTCCTCTGCATTTTCCTAAGAGGGAAACCTGGAAGTGCAGCACCCTAGGAGCGAGGGTGAACTGGGAAGAAACAGTGCTAACACACGCACAGAGCTAACTGCTCAGGCTGAGGTTCTCTGTGGTTGTCAGTGTCCCCTACTAGCAGCAGAAATAAATCATTCATGGAGAGGGATAACATCACACACAGCCTCCTTTTTAAAAGAGCACAAACTTTCAATGTGGCAATGAGAAGACGTCAAGCTGACTTCTCAATAGGACCGATGGAAGCTGGAAAACAATGGAACACGAGGAACTCACGAGGAACCTGGAGTTCACTACTCAGTGAAAAAAACTTTCAAAAATAAAAGTGAAAAATAGACACTAAATGTGATAAATGATAAAACAAAAAAATTACCACCTGGAGACCCACACTAGAGGAAATACTAAGGTTGTTTTCAGGTGGAAGGAAAAGGATTCTAGAGGGCACCTCGGAAATGCAGAAAGACATGAGGAGCTCTGTCTCTGTCCCTGTCTCTCTCTCTCATAGGTACACACACACACACACACACGCACGTAGCTCCCATAAATATACATATACATAATGTTTATATAAAGGATAAATATACTGGTACATCTAAGGAATATGACTTGTATAAACAAAAATAACTTTGCCTTGTGAGGGTTTTAAAGCTGCTTATGAAAACATCCAAACAAACGCCTGCAGAATTTCATTTGCAAAGTGGACGGTGGGTCTGACCAGGGCAGCGTTACTGATGTTCAGCCTTCGTCAAGCCAGTCATCCCCGAGCAGGTGAGGCCAACGTTGGCGCATCAGGCACTATTTGAAACCACCCATCTCTACGACAGGGCAGCGCTGGGAAAGTCATGGGGTTGGTGGTGACTGCATTTGGCTCATCTGGTTCAGAAAGTCAAAGGGAGAAACCATTCCAGCTTCCCGAAGCACTCACTGTTTCCCTCCACCCGCGGCCCCCGGTGTTTTCGTCTGTGAAACCTGTGAGGATCCACGTGCCTGGCACAGAAAGGGGCCCTGCAGCTGTGATGGTGGGGGTGGCAGGATGATGGTAGGGACATGGAGAAGGTGGAGGGAGAGAAGCAAAGCCCTGACCAGTGAGGGAAGAAGGGACCAGGCGCCGTCTGTTGTACTCACTGAAAGCAGCACGGCCGGCCTGGTTTATGAGAATGATGGTCTCTCGGGCTGGATGGGGATGTGGAGCCCTTCTGACTGCCTTGGTCTCTTCCTCAGCCTGCCCCAGCCCCTCACCGCCATTCCTGGGCCCCCACCCTGTGCCCAGCTGGCCCGAGGGCCTCTTGTGCATGGGTTTGTCACGTCTCAGAGAAATCTCACAGGCGGCCTGTTGCCAATGTGCATGAACTCGGGCCAATCACACATCGGACAGTGGTGGAGCAGGGCTGGGGTCCAGGATCTGGGCGTGGAGCTCTTCTCCACTCAGCCCTACTGGCTGGGGGAGGTGGAGGGATAGCGAGTCAGCCCAGGACTCATCAGCACCTCAGGATTACTGATCCGCTGTGAGGCAGAGACCCGCGTGCTCCCTTTGAGCGCCTGCCCTGGTCCATCACGTCACTGAGAAATCACTTTATCAGAATGGCTGAGAACCTCCCACCACAAATGCCCCTCTCCTCCGCCTCCACGGGGCTCAGATAACCTCACGATATCACGTGAACCCCCTGCCCACTGGGGTCAAGCTCTCCCCACTCGGGACGGAATGCGGGATGGCGTTTCCAGCTGATCTGTCCTGAAGGACTCTCCAGTTCCGGAAGGCCAGGCAGGAGGTCCTCCCCCGCCAATCCCTCGGCAGGAGGGGCCCGCTGCTGTGTGATCTCATGTATGGAGGAGCACCAAGACCCCTTGGGGGCCTGGGGACCAGGACGTGGAGGAGAGAGGGCTTGGCATTGAGGAGGGGCCAGGTGGGATGTGTGGAATGGGAAGTCAGACGGTGGCTGGAAAGAGACGTTTGGAACCCTGACTGTGGCCACCTCCTTTTCTGACAGATGGGGAAACTGAGTCCCACGAGGAGGAACGTGGCTGGGTCCAGTGAGCTCTGCTAGAGCCAGACTAAAGCAGCCACACTGTCCTCCAGGGTCCAGCAGACACTTCCTGTGAAGCGCCAGGCAGTACGTATGTCAGGCTTTGCAGTCACACATTCTCTGTCCCAACTCCTCAATGCTGCACAGAAACAGCCTGAGAGGACGCGTCCAGCCATGGGCACGGCTGTGTTCCCATCACACCATTCACAGAAGCAGGTGCTGAGCTGGGTTTGGCGACCCCTGCTATACGCTCTTTTATCGGATTTCAGGGACAACGTTGGTTTTTAAAAACACAGGGGAACCAATATAGGGTTGCCAACTTCTAGTTCTACCAAGGGAAGACTTTAAAGTACACATCTAGCTCAAATGTTTCATGAAAGGAAAATAATATTTTACCACTAAAATCACAGGAAAGACTTAGTCTCAGAATAAAGGCCAATCCTTCATTCAGTAAGTTGAGCTCCTTGAAGGCACTTGCCACATTTGCCACATTTAGAGGCTTTGTGTGTCCACCACAGCCTGTGAGCTGTGGGTGCCACAGCCGGAGGCGTGGCTCAGTGGGGGCCAGGTGTGCCTGGCTGGGATGGGGCTTCCCCACGCGTGCGCAGAGCTCCCCATCTCCTGCCCTCTCCCCAGGAATACACGGTGGGGAACCAGGCAGTAAGAGGAGAGGCAGCCCCAGCACAGGAGGAAAGCACCTGGCCGGCCAGGGAGGGGGACACCCGCCCAGCGTGGGGGGACACCCGCCCAGCGTGGGGGGGACCCGCCCAGCGTGGGGGGACACCTGCCCAGCATGGAGGACACCGCTTAGCATGGAGGGACACCCAGCCAGCGTGGAGAGG